CAAGAGGAAAAGGAAAGGATTCTTTCATGTGTCTTTGGAAGAATTATGATTGCTTTTTTAGAGTATTGATCAAAATGTTAATAGTACACTTACATAGTAACCTATTTCTAGAAACTTCCCTTCATAAACACTCTTACAAATTTAAAGATATGTTTATGTGGATATAGATGCTTGCTGCAGTGTTGCTTATTATCACAAAATTTGGAAACGCGTATTTTCAACAGTTGCAATCTAGTTAATAAACCATGTACACAATGCATCTCTACTGTGGCTTTCACTTTTATCATTGAAGACAGATGAGGCAAATTTTTGGGTACAAGCATGGAGAAATGTCTTAAGATGAAAAAAGCCAGCCACAGGAGAGTTGTGTATGCTGCTTTTATCATTAAAAGCCAATAAAAGTTTAGTATGTAGCATTACACCAAAATGGTCACCAGATATAATAGTATCCCTTTAAAAATGCTGATTTCAGTGTATTCTATAATATAATAAATTAAATAACTCGTATCTTCTCAAAAAAAAAAAAAAAGATAATGTGTGTTTGAGCTAGAATCTTCTAATGGACCGATTCAGGTCATATTGGTAGTTTCAAATGGCCTTTCATTACTTCTTCCCCTTCAGATACTATCTGAGCAATTATATAAAGACCTTCACTGTATTTATAACTTAAAAAAAAAAAAACCCTGAATCTATTAAACTGTCTGTTAATAGGAGATTGCTAAAAGAAATCATTAATTGATGGAATGCTATGTGATCATACAAATCGTGCTGCAGTTCTGGATTTATTGATAAAGGTGTCCATTATCTGCTGCTAAATACAAAGGCTTATGAGGCAATATAAATACTAAAATTCCATTTTTCTTTAAAAAATACCATCCACACAAATATGCAGTCTGGAAGGATATATGCCAAATGCAAATAATGGGCAATTTTATTTTGCTATTCTTTTCTGTACTTTTTATTGTGTATGTGTAACTTCTAAAATCAAAGTTTTATGCACTTTGGGGAGGGGGCAAAATAAAAATAATATATAATTCATTTGAAACTTATCTGTCTCTTCTTCCCACATTAGAAATATTGGGTTGGAGATAAAGCTGTGGCCCTGTGTCGATATGCTACCCACCTTAGCCACTGGTCTTTTTATCAGACTGGTTACTTTTGTCCTTTCCTTTTCTCTAAAATTCATACCGGGAGTTCAGTGGGAAGTGTTAACCAGGTGTAAGACCGACTAAGCACTGGTACCAGTACTCTGAGAGTTTTCTAGGGATTTGGAGGGCACAAAAGGTTGCTTATAGACTTTGATTATTTTATGTCCCCAAGAATTGCAGGATGAGGCTGTGCCTAAGGTAGCTTCCTGGTAACATCTGCATGATTGATGAGTGAATAACTGGAGCAGTGTGAATTACTCTTGATTTGTCTGAGATGACAAATCCTTGGTGGTGAAAAGATTATGAACCCCTTATTAAGCTGGCAGGTCAGTGGCCAGAATTGTTCAGAACAAATAGGCCTAATCATGAAAACAGCAATTTACCTGATTTTTAAAATAAAAATAGTATAATAAAAATTGAGATGTAATTTATAGTTTTAAAACAAGGAGATTTTAATAGTTATGTTATTTGTTAGAACTAAATGTTGCCTTTGTATTAAAGACAGTAGATGGCAGTGTCCTCACGCTAGGGAAACTTGAAGAGGAAAAAAACTGCATGGAGATGTTCTCTAGTTGAAATAATGTTGCCTTCTTGGGTGACCATTTATCATGCTAGAGGTTAGTTTTGCTAAGAAATCTTAAAGAAAAGAACTTGTGGCTCTGTGGTAGAGGGATTGCCTAGCACATGTGAGGCGATGAGTTTGATCCCTAGCACCACATTAATAAATAAATAAATAAATAAATGTATTATTTCCATCTACAACTAAAAATATTTTTTTTAAAAAGATAAGAACTTTAGCATGAATTCCTTTGTTTCCAGGGAGAAAAAGTGTATTGTCATTTCTAATACTTTATATTTTTCAAAGGAAAATACAAACATGATCATAAAGTTTAAATCAAAATCCCTAGAGACACTCTTAATGCACTTTATTCTGTCTAAATATGTCAACTGGCTGCCAGCTTTTCTTCTATTTAAGAGGAATTAAACAATGAAATGTGTAAATAATAAACATGTAATACCAGCAGAAGAAGAATGTCCTTGTAAGAATGTGAATTTTGTGGCCACAACTGTAGAGGTTGGTAAAGAGAAATGGATAAGAACAGAAGAAAGAAATTGGAATTTTACGATCTAAGATGGTCATGTTCCTTAAAATGTAACCTGTGATCAAGTTGCTAGATGTTAAAAGTGAGCTGTAGTAAGAATTGCTATCATTTATCTTCTGTGAATTATGTTTAAATGTAAGTATGTGTATCCTTTCTGACCATCAAAAAAAGGAAAACAATTTTTAGCAAATTTCAAGAGAAATTATACTTGTAACATTTTTTGTTTGCTTGTCTGTCTTAATTATAAAGTATCTCTTGCATATAAATGGATATAGAGTAAATGAAAGGCATAACTCTAGTGTTTTCAGCTTCTTTCTTTAGTCTGTTTATCTGTGTCCGATACTATCACCTAAATCCTGAAATCATCCATGTGTAGGTCACAAGGAGCCTTAAATTCCCTTCCTGGTTTCAGAGTCCTTACTTCTGATGGAAGAAAATGGAGTAATGAACATGTGTACTCACAGTGGTATCCACTTTACCATTAACCAGACTGGATGGCTTGTTTGAACCTCAGTTTTTAGGTTAAATGAGGTTTGAAGTAGTTGACACATGAGACATTTAATCCTTTGCATATAAATTATCTTCCTTTCCTAGCTTAACATAAGATTGACCTTTCTGTCTCTAAGAACATGGGGATTATTTAGCTTTTCCTTTATGTCTTAAGCACCTAGGAAAAAAAAGCCTGATACAAAGTTGGTACTTAAGAGATGTTGTATTAATGACTAAATTTTAAACACTTCATTTCATAGGCCTTGACTTTGTTAAATAATTTTGGAGTAGAGAAAGGAGGATGTTGACTCTTGGTTACCAAAATGTTTGGCCTGATTTTTTCCCCACATTTTATCCAACTTTAGAAAATATAGCATTTTGTATATTTATAATAATAATAGTTACACATGTAAGTATTATAAATATTCTAATCTTTCATGTTGTTACTGAAATGAATTCATGCCATTTTAAAAATAGCAGGGCTGAGGATGTAGCTCAGTGGTAGAGTACTTATATGAGGGCTTGTGGTATAACTCTTGCCTAACGTGCACATGGCCTGAATTCAATCCCCAGTGCCACCAAAAAAAAAAAAAAAAAGAGAGAGAGAGAGAGAAAAAGAAAGGAAAGGAAGAAAAAAGGAAGGGAGGAAGAAGAAAGGAAGGAAGGACACAAATGTACCAACATTAAGTGAAAGACATAGTGTCACAGAGATCTCAGAAGAGCAAATTCTTAGAACTGGGATGAGGAATATGATGAGCCATCTAAGAAAAAACATCAGCATTCTCATTTAGGAATTAATTAAAAGCTGTAATTTGTTAGCTGGATTGTATGCCAGGATTTTTCTATGTCTGTTCCTAAGTGTAAGGAATGGGATAGAATGTTATTTACTCAGACACCAATGTCTACAGTTATAATGACCCTGAAAATCAGTAGTTCTATCAATAGAATATTAATTTTTTAAAAATCCTAGGTAATGATTTCACTATTGCTTTTTTTTTTTACTGCTACCATTCCACATTTATATATTTATTTCATTTTAAAGGCCTACCATTAAAACTACACTGAGATTCCATCTCACTTTAGTCAGAATGGCAATTATCAAGAATACAAGTAACGATAAATGTTGGCGAGGATGTGGGAAAAAAGGTACACTTGTACATTGCAGGTGGAACTGCAAATTGGTATAGCCACTCGGGAAAGCAGTATGAAGATTCTTCAAAAAACTAGGAATGGAACCACCATTTGACCCAGTTTTTCCATTCTTCTGTATATTCCCAAAGGATTTAAAATCAACATTCTACAGAKATGCAGCCACATCAATGTTTTATAACAGCTCAAGTCACAATAGATAAGCTATGGAACCAACCTAGATGCCCTTCCACAGATGAATGGATAAAGAAAATGTGGATTATAGACACAATGGAATATTACTCAGCCTTAAAGAGAAAGAAATTATCGAATTTTCCCAGTAAATGAATGGAACCAGAGACTATCATGCTAAGTGAAGAAAACCAATCCCCAAAACCCAAAAGCCTAATGTTCTCCCTAATATGTGGATGCTGACACACAATAAGAGTAGGGGCGAAAAGAATAGAAGTTCATTGGATCAGCCAAAGGGGAATGCAGGGAAGGGAGAGGGGATAGGAATAGAAAAGATAGTAGAATGAAGCAGACATAACTTTCCTATGTTCATATATGAATACATCAGCAATAAGCTCCACATCATGTACAATCACAAGAATGGGATCCTAATTAGAATAAGTTATACTCCATGTATGTATAATATGTCAAAATATACTTTATCATGTATACCTAAAAAGAACAAATAAATAAATTGAAGCTTGCTAGGGATTATGTAATTTGTTATTTAAGTAATTTTACTGATTTATTCTTCTGGAATTTATTCCAATGTGTAAAGGAAGTTACACTTGCATATTTTAAATGTTAACATTTTAATAGCAGCCAGTGTTGCTTTGATTGATTATATGCCAACAATGTACATGATTTCAGTGAACTTTTTAAAAGTTTTAGAATTAAAACACTTAGGAAGGAAGTGATCCAGAAACTGTAATTTTAACTTGATATATTCCTTAGAAAGTATTATTGGTTAATACGTAGGACACTTTTTTGTTTGTTTGTTTTTAAAATTTTGAATTAAAAATAGTTTTTTGGACAAGATAACTTTTTTTGAATATAATTTATATTATTCTTTTTGAACACAGCTCTAACAGTATTTCAACTTTTGTGGGTTTTTTTTCAGATACAGTTAAAAAACTCCAGGACCAAAAACATGACATGGAAAGAGAAATCAAGACACTCCATAGGAGACTTAGGGTAGGATAAGTCTTCATGTATTAATTATCTTCTTAGATGGCCAGGTATGGTGGYACATGCCTGTAATCCTAGTGACTTGAGAGGCTGATGCAGGAGGATCACAAGTTTGAGGCCAGCCTGAGTAACTTAACAAGACCCTATCTCAAGATTAAAAATAAAAAGGACTGGAGATGTAGCTCAGTAGTAGAACACCCCTGGGTTCAATCTCTAGTACTGGAAAAAAAAAAAAAAAAGGAAAAAAATATCATCTTTTAGAAAACAGAGCTTTTAAAATTTGACCACATTATCACTTCACTAAGTTTTTGATACAGTGGTGATATTGGGCCCATTGGGCTTTGGACAGAAAGCAAATGCCATCCTTTCAAATTGGGATTGGTGCTAGATTTGGGGTAGAATAATGTACTAGTGATTTGTGGATGGTAATTTTAGGAAGATGGATTTAGGAAATGTGTTATATTTTGATTACAAAGTGGCCCAAATTAGGCTATTTTTCATGAGTTTTCTGTATTTATGGGTTTGATGAACTTGCCAATAGCACTGCTACTGAGATGTGGAGAGAATGCTTATCAGAGTTTGGGTCATGCCACAGTTGCTCAAGCTACTTGCATAATGTCAGAAAATTGCTTTGGAGATGAGAGGGCTTGGGTGTGGCCCAGCTGTGGCTCTGGTGGAGGTGACATCCCAGGGATACTTCCCCACCCAGCCACACCCACATCCTCCATGACTATGGGAAGCAACTGACCATCCAGTTCCTTACTGCCTCTTTGTATAATTTTGTCTGCCTATATTGAGTTCAGTGTTGTTCTTCTGGCTTCCTCTTCCTTTTCCTTTACTTTTGATTTTTTTCTATTAGTTTTTGATGTAAGGATATTTATAGTTTTTCACTGTATAGTTCACATACCATTTATATACCTTTTTAAGCTTTCCAGAGGTAAAGCTCTAAATTCTGGATGATGTTTATTTTTCATAAGACTTGCTTTGAAACTTGCCAGAGGAAGGGAGGCTTGGTATTATTATTATTAATATTTATTGAACACTCTGAGTACTTGATGCATCAGTAGACAGATCAGCTGGAAAATCTTTTCCCTCATTAAGAACAAATTCTCTAATAATGGTTGCATTGCCTGTTAGAAATAGGTAATACCAATTCTCCATGATTAAAAAAAAAAATCATCATCTGGGAGTACAGTGCACAATAACAATTTAATCACAAACAAATAATATTGCTTTTAAATAAATCTTCATTGCTCTCTTTTGGAAATAAAAATTTAGTGTTTTTAATATAGGAAGAATCTGCGGAATGGCGGCAGTTTCAAGCTGATCTCCAGACCGCAGTAGTCATTGCAAATGACATTAAATCTGAAGCCCAAGAGGAGATTGGTGATCTGAAGCGCCGGTTACATGAGGCTCAAGAAAAAAATGAGAAACTCACAAAAGAATTGGAGGAAATAAAGTCACGCAAGTATGTTCTGRGAAAACTGTTGTGTTCTATGTTTCAGTAGAAAGAACATTTAAATCCCAGTTTTTTTTTTTAAAGATGTTGACAGACCTTTATTTAATTTATTTATGTGTGATGCGGGGAATTAAACCCAGTGCCTCATACATGCCAGGCAACGTACTACTAATGAGCCACAGTCCCAGCCCTAAATCCCAATTTTGTGACATGGTATTATGGAAAGAACATGAGAGTTGACACTACTGAGTTTAGATCTAATGGAAGTTAATTTTTCTGGGCCCTTATTTATGATACCTGTAAAATAACAGTTTATATGAATCTTTCAGTGCTGTTGTCTATGTTGATCAATTATCAGTGACTCTGGAGAAAACCATAGTTGTGTCAACTTAGGGTACAATATAATTCTTCTTTTCCCTAATCCCATGATCTGGCCCTGTTATTTTTCTTCAGACTATAGTCTTGTGACTAGATAGACTAGGTTCCTGACGAGTTCTGCCTCTTAACTAGCTATGATCTTGATCAGCCACCTCAACTTTGCTTAGCCTTAGTTTTTTTTATCTTTAAAATGGTGGCAATATTCTGCTTTGCAGTATTGATATAATGAGTAAATGAGATAATGCCTGCAAAGTGCTCAGGGCAATGAGCTACAGCCTCTTCAGCTAGTATTTTTGGAAACCCAAGTAAAGAATGCAAAGTAAGTTTCTATCACTCACTCGGAATTTTCACTTGTTCTTTTCTGTAACTGCATGAATGTCCATAGTAATGTTGTTTTTCCTCCATGCAACAAACATGGATCATTGGAAACCTATAAAAATTATTGGATGAGGTAACATCTGTGATGTGCTCTGAGCTCTGCAGTAAGATTCCACCTGAGTGGGGGGATAGTAATTTTGTATGTGAGATTATTGTTTAAGATTTATTACTTATTTTGAATGATTTTTATAGGAAAATAATTTTTTTCTATAGGAAAATAATTTTTTAAAAACAGCATATTTTTGGAAATCTATGTTATTTTATTATTACCTAGCCCTAGTATATTGCCCAAAGACAAGTATTTTTAAGAATCTTTCACTGGCTTAAACAGTTTGAAATGAAGCATCGGATATGGTTTCTCCACTGGTATAAAACTTGTATTGCATTGCTTTTTTTCCTTCCATATGCTGTTAAAGGAACAGCATTATCAGAAATGCCTCATTCAAGGTTATCCTGAGTGACTGCAGATGATGATGATGATGATGATGATGATGATGATGATGATGATGATTTTGACAGTGGTGAGGTTCAAACCCAGGTCCTTAACTATGTTAGGCAAGTGCTCTACCAATGAGCTACAGCCCCAGCCCTGAAATTCTGCTCTTAAAGGATCATTCTTTTTTTTTTTTTCCTTCTTCCCCTTGGTACTAGGGATTGCCCCACCCCCACCCCCCGCACTCATTTATTTATTTTGAGACATGATCTTGCTAAGGTGTTGAGGCTGGCTTTGAACTTGGGATCTCCCAAGTCACTGAGATTACAGGTGTGCACCACAGCACCTGGCCTTAAAGGATCACTCTCTTGGTTCCCCAAAGCTCATCATATTTATGACTTATATGCAATATATATTGTTTAATAAGTACCTCCTGAAAGAGGCATATTATAGAGCAGGGGTTCTCAGAGTGAGTGTAGACTCCTAAGACCCCGAATACATTTTCATTAAGTATCATTTTCATAATAATACTACTAACAGGTTGTTGACCTTTTTCACTGTGCTGACTTTTACACTGATAATGAAAAGCAGACATAAACTTGATAAATCAAGGCCTTGGCACCAAATTGTACTCCTAGTCATTGAACTTGTCAGCATCACACTGACATTTAAAAAGGAAAAAAAAAAAAAAAAAGGAAAAAAGCCCTAAACAAAGCACAATGCACGTTTAACTTCAAGTTGTCCTTCCTGAAGGAGTAAATTTTAAATTTTACTAAATATCAGTCCTTGAGTTACCCTAGTTTTAACCTGTGTAACAAGATGGGAAGTATCAATAAAACACTTCTACTTTATCTGTGTGTACCCAAGTATGAGATTGCCTTGAGGAGAGCATTATATGGTCATTTTAGTTTAAACTACTTTCTTTCCTTAATGTAGCACCATTTTTTTTAAGAGAGAGGAGAAAGAGAAAAAGAGAGAGAGAGAGAGAGAATTTTAATATTTATTTTTTACGGCGGACACAACATCTTTGTTTGTATGTGGTGCTAAGGATTGAACCCGGGCCGCACGCATGCCAGGTGAGCACGCTACCGCTTGAGCCACATCCCCAGCCCAATGTAGCACCATTTTTACTTGAGGTTGACTAACAGAAAAACTATAGGTATTCAGATTTTGATATTTGGTGGGTGTTTCCTTTAAAGGAAAACAACTGACCGTATTTGTTGCCACTGATACATACAAGGCTTCAAATGAGTGTTAAGGGGCTGGGGTTGTGGCTCAGCGGTAGAGCGTTCGCCTCACATGTGTGCGGCCCTGGGTTCGATCCTTAGCACCACATAAAAAATAAATAAAGATACTGTGTGTTCATCTACAACTAAAAGAACATTTAAAAAAAAAACAAAAACAAATGAGTGTTAAGGTCTTGGGAAAATTTTGTTTGCCATTGTAAATATGGTGGCTTCCCATATTTAAAGAGTTTTTTGTTTGTTCGTTTGTTTTGAGTGAGATCATTGATGATATTGTATAAAGGCAAGCATTGGGAGAATCTTTATAATACAATGTGCCAGTATTTTCCTTATGTCATATGTATTGTTTTAGGATCACGGATGGGTAAAAAGATTCTTTCAAAGAACATGACAGACCAGTGGGTCATAATGGACAAAACTGGAAAATTTCATATGGTTTAAAATTCCACATTGAACTCTGTGTGTGTGTGTGTGTGTGTGTGTGTGTGTGTATGTGTGTGTGTGGTATTTCTAGGTATCAATCCTAGGGCTTCCTTCATGCTAGGCAAATGCTCTAACATTGAGTTACACCCACATTTCACAGTCAACTTTTAAGTAACTATCAATTGTTGCATTTTAGTTTAGTATCAAAGAATAACCACAGTTATCTAAAAAGGGTTTTTAAATATTCTTCTCTTTTTAAACCATATTATCTGTTAAAGATCTTCATTTTTTTCTTTTTAGAGAGAAAGAGAGAATTTTTAATATTTATTTTTTAGTTTTCGCCGGACACAACATCTTTGTTTGTATGTGGTGCTGGGGATCGAACCCGGGCCGCATGCATGCCAAGCGAGCACGCTACTGCTTGAGCCACATCCCCAGCCCCCTTCATTTTTTTCATATCTCAATAGATTGAATATGGAAGAAATGAAAATCTAGCTATCTTCTAAGCTAGATATTAGATATTTAAAATATAAAACACTGCTACTCTTATTAATTATTTTGTCTTTAGAAATATAGTTATTTTTCATTAAGATTTTTGTATCATGTTAATTAGAACAGGGTTTACTTTTATGTTTACTTTGTGTGACTGGAGAGACAGTCTTGTGAAGTTGCCCAAGTTGGCCTTGAGGTCCTCCTGCCTCAGCCTCCTGAGTAGCTGGGATTATGAGTGTATACCACACATTTGGCTTAGATTAATTATGTATTTTATATGCTTTCTATTTTAATTGATTTAATGGAAGTAACTTACATAAACAAAAGCTTTTGGGGGTCCTCAATTATTTTTAGGAGCGGAAAGGGGTTCTCAGGCCAAAAAATTATTATTATTTTTATGGATTATTGAAGCTTCTAATCATGATAAGTAGCTACACATATACCTCTGGTACATCTTGAGGCAAAAACAAAACAAAAAAAAAACCCCAAACTTCCAGAGAGCCAGATGACCAACACAGACAATTTTCCAAAAAACTGATTTGATTTTTGTCCCTATTAGTGTACTTGATAGTTTTATGACATGTGCAAATTCTGCAATTGCAATCTAATTCCAGATGAAAATGTGTGTTAGTCAGCTCAGTGAATTAAGAGGACCAGAAATGAAATAGCATTGATTTTTCTGATGACTCAGGAATACATCACACTAGAGGACTCAGGTTACTAATATGGGCCTGGGCTTTTTTTTTTTTTCCCTCCCCTTCTGTAGAAATTCTATTTGTAGGTCTCTTCTGTTCTTTCAGAACATGGGCTTTGGTTTTATTTCTTTGCAATTCCATGTTCAAGCATAGCATTTTAAGCTAGAGCCAGCCTAAATTATCTACATGTGCTGGCAAATTCCCAGACTTCTGAGAAGGGCCAGGCATTCCTAGCAGCAGAGAACCAGAGATTCCTAGATCTGAGTCAGGCTGTGGCTAGTCTGCCTTCCATTTTACTGCTAATTGATTACTGATGCCCTCACCTGACACTTACTTACATGAAAATGGAATTTGATGGTAATTTAACTTGCTTAGGATAACTTGATATGAAAATTTTAATATCATTTCCGGGCATTTGTCAAGCAAATGAGAATATTAGACCAGATAATCTACTTTGCTTAACCGATACAGTTGAAACAAAACAAAACTAATGTCTTTTTAATGCTTTCAGTTGGGAGAGGGAAAAATGTGTATTTTCTCATACATATGTGCAAATGCTGTATTTCCATATTATTTTTAGGCAAGAGGAGGAGCGAGGCCGGGTGTACAACTACATGAATGCTGTTGAAAGAGATTTGGCAGCCTTAAGGCAGGGGATGGGACTGAGTAGAAGGTCCTCAACTTCCTCAGAGCCAACTCCTACAGTAAAAACCCTTATCAAGTCCTTTGACAGTGCATCTCAAGGTAATTAATTTCATATTTATTGTGCCAGGGGCAGAGGTTCTATTTACTTATCCAGTGTTCTCTGGTGTTATTTGATATTCTTTACCATTCTACTCTCAGTCTAATCAAATTTCAAGTAGTATCAATGAGTTAATATAAGGTGACTTTTCATAGGGAGTTATAAATCTTGGTATCCAACTCATCTCTTATTTATGCAAAGATGTATGTCTTTTTTCCCCAGGTGGACCACATGTTCCTGTGACTCAATTATCCTCTTAATGCCTAAAATGTCCAGATGCCTTATGCTAGCTGTTTCCCTTCCTTTGATTTCTTGTTGTATATCCAAATGCTCACTTGACATTGGCACTTGGATGTCTCCTAAATTTTTTTTCCAGTTTTTGATAGAGCTTTATGTTTATTTATTTATATGTTACATATAAATATATATGTTATATATATATATTTATTTATATGTTGTGCTGAGAATTGAACCCAGTGCCTCACACATGCTAGGTAAGCGCACTGCCACTGAGCCTCAACCCCAGCCCCTCTCCAGATATTTGTATGTTCAGAATTAAACCTTTGCTCCGTGAAATAGCAGCACCATTCCACGCAGTTTTTGAACAAGTATCTGGGAATCTTCCTTAAATTCTTCTTTCCCACCCCCACATCTAATCCAGTCTTAGCAAGTCTCCTTTTGGGTGGCAGGGTAGGGTGGGGTTGGCAATACTGAGGATTGAACTCAGGGTCTCATATATTTTAGGCAAGTGCTCATCATTAGCTATATCCCCAGTTTTTTAAAAAATATTTTTTTAATTGTGGATAGACCTTTATTATTTTTTTAATTTATTTTTTAGTTGTAGTTGGACACAGTACCTTTATTTCACTTATTTATTTTTATGTGATGCTGAGGTCTCACACATTGAAGGCAAGCGCTCTACCGCTGAGCCACAACCCCAGCCCCTAGACCTTTATATGTGGTGCTGAGAATTGAACCCAGCACCTCACACACGCCAAGCCACAGCTGCAGCTCCCCAGTTATTTTTTTTTTAAATGGGGTGTCTGTTAAGTTGCCTAGGTTAACCTCAAACTTGCAATCCTCCAGCCTTGTAATTCTGGGATTACAAGCATGTGCCACTACACCTTAGCAAGTCTTGATCCAGCCTCCAACATGGGACTCCACTTTTACTTAGTGTGCTTTTCTTCATTTCTAGTGGCACAATCTTTAGTTCAAATGACCATCAATTCCTAATTTTAGTGATCATAATTTCCCATTCTATTTCATGGTRGTTTTTTTTTTTCCCCTACCTAAAATTGTGTAATTTCCTTATTATAGATGGAATGAAGTTAAGATCTAAAATGCCTGCAAGGGTCCACCTMTGCCCATTTCTTCCCTCAAATGGGCTATCCACAATAGCCAAGAGATCTGAAACCACCCAAGTGCTTCCCCTACCCTTACACCCCAACCATACCACAGTTAAGGTTCAGAAACAAGTTGGGTTCTTTTAATAAGTATGAGGTGGATCTTGAAGTACTAATGTTAAAATATATCTGCGATTCTTTATAACAAGTTGCAGACCAGTGTGTTATTTTTTTTGGAATGACACTTTTATTTATATTTGATATTGAGGTCGAACCCAGGGCCTCGCACATGATAGGCGAGCACTCCACCGCTGAGTCACAACCCCAGCCCCATATTATTTTGTTTTTTTAAAGCATAGATGGTTATATGTATTTGTATTTAAAGTAAAGAAAGAGGTCTTCAGAACAGCTATTAGTATCTACCTCTGATTAATATAATGGAGTAAGATGAAGAGAACTTTTAAGAAATACATTATTTTAAAATAAAATGATAATGGCATGTATACTAAATTATGCAACTATTCACAATATCAACACAAAAAGACTTTTTTTTTTTTGTATTGAAGATTGAACTCAGGAGCACTTAACTACTGAGGCACATCCCCAGCCCTTTTTTGTATCTTATTTAGAGACAGGGTCTCACTGAGTTTCTTAGGGCCTTGTTAAATTGCTGAGGCTGGCTTTGAACTCACAAACTTCCTGCCTCAGCCTCCTGAGCCACTGGGATTATAGGTGTGTCCCACTGTGCCTGGCTAACAAAACAGACTTCAATGCAAAAAAAAAAAAAAAGATATATATGCTCTTATACTGATCTTTAACAAATATTTTATAATAAAATTAATCTAAATAGCCCAGCATTTGTACTCCTAGTTATAAAAGAATTGAAAGTAAGTATTTAGACAAATACTTGTATATAAATGTTCACAGCAGTGCTAACCACAATAGCCAAGAGAGCGAAACAACCCAAGTGTTCATGACTTGAATGAATAGATAAACAAAATGTGATTTTTTCATACAATGGAGTATTAGACAACTCTAAGAAGGAATGAAGTACTGTTACATTCTACAATATAGATATATCTGTACAACATTATGCTAAAGTGAAAAATAAGTAGTTACTTTTGAGGTGATGAAATATTTTGGAACTAGGTAGAGGTGATGGTTGTACTATATTGTGAATGTGCTAAAAGTTACTGAATTGTACATTTAAAAATGGTTAAATTCATGTTGTGCGAATTTTGTCTCAGTTAAAAAAAGTACACCTGCATGCTTTACTTAGTRTGCTTTTCTCCATTTCTAGTGATATGCCTGGGTTCAGTTTGCATTTCTCATTTTGAATTTAATGCAGTTTCAATTGGTTTTCCACAAGTGTCTAGAAATTAATTAATGAATGAATTAGAAAAAATAAGCTGCTGTGAGTAGCTAGGAGAGGAAGATTATGTAAACAAATAATCATACATCTTTGTGTTAAATGCAAATAAGAAAATACACGTGAAGTGGAGTGATAAGTTCTGTAGGAGGAAGTGAGGCAGGATGAATAGAAGTTCTTCATCCATTTGTTTAATGTGCAGTTGGTGAATGTCCATTACATTCCAGGCCTCTTATCTGAAGCATTTTACAGATAATATCCTCTTTTGTTTTATTTTCTTTTATTTRCAATGCTGAGCATTGAACCCAGAGCCTTATATATGCTAGGTAAGCACATCAGCCTCTCGTGGGTTTGTTTTTGTACTTGGATTTCATTGGTAAATGGAATACTTTGGCCACTTAATATAATTAAACAGCAAAAATAAAATTATTGGCCTAGGGAAGCAAACAATTCACTGGTGGTAAAAGCACCTGTCTCCTGAGAGACTGTTGTGAGTGTTCAGCATAGGTCAGGCATCAGCTAAGACTGTTTCCAGTGGAATTTGAGAGCTTTGGTTAATCTGGTGAATCCTTAAATGGGGACCAGTAGAGAAAGCTTCTGTGGCACTGTGATTTCTGTTATTTACTTGTTTGTTTGTTGTTTTTGTAGTACCAAACCCTGCTGCAGCTGCAATTCCTCGAACACCTCTGAGTCCAAGTCCTATGAAAACCCCTCCTGCAGCAGCTGTATCCCCTATGCAGGTAAGTGCCTGGGACCACTGAAGGTTCTGGGGGGCTTCAGAATCTGAAAGCTAAATCCTTTTCTTCAGAGTCATACACACATGTGTCAGGTGGGCATATGACTGCTCAGAAGGATGTATTTGGGATCTGTTTTCTAAATACCATGAACATCCTTGAGTAAGATAAATTATGTATATATGTGAATTATGTTGTTATTCTGGGAAACTAAGATGTCTCTTTGAGCATGCAGTTGGCATGTGTAAGCCTGTGCTGCAGGAAAAAAAATCACTTAAAGACCTAGTGTCTTAAAATGGTAGTTTACTATTTTTCACATTTTTCTGAGTTGATGAGGCAGTTCTTTCCTGGCTGTACCTGGGCTTACTCCTGCAGATTCACTGAGCCAGAGTGTGGGTTGGACTCAGGAGGGCACTGGACTGCTTGCTGTCTCCACATGATCTTTCTTCTCAGGCCCATTCGGCAATATGATTCTCTCCAGCTCCAGGAAGGTAAAAGTGGAAGTTGGCAAAAAGCCTCTGAAGACCTTGGCATGAAGCTTGGACAGTACCACTTCTAGCCTGTTCTTTTGGTCCAAACAGATCACAGGGCCAACTTGGATTCAGAGTGAGAAGGGTCTGTGCCAGGCATGAGTTCAGAGAAGTATGATTCATTGAAGACCAGTGTATCACAGTGTAGCACAAGGACATTGCTGATCCATTATAAGCAAGTTTCAGAAGTTGCTCTTTCTTGCCATTGTGGAAAAACAGACCAGAAACAGGGCAGGTGACTGTTCTCTATGAAGAGACCCTCTCATTGTGCTCTTTATCTGTTCACTTTCAGAAAGTGGCTGAGGTGGAGTATTTCCACATAGGTGAGAGCAGCCAAAGAAAAAATTGCCTTAAATCTGTTATCCTGTGATACGGGGTAGTTTTGGCCACATCTGTTCCCTAAAATAATAGGGCTTGGAAGCTTTTTTCTTTTTGAGTTGAGACTTTAGTGCTGTGTTAACAATTGGCCATGGGTTTTATGAGTGGACTTTTAATTTTAATTTTTTTAAAAATTTTTGTAAAGTTTAGGCATTTTTGTAAAGTTTAAGCATTTGTGATGTTGCAAATCAGTGGCTTTGCATTTGCATGTATGTACAAGATGTCTTAATGTAAAAGGAATCCAAGGGGAATTCCATATTTCACCTGCAGATTTAATATGCTCCACAAATCAAACTTGTTTTAAAAGCCTGAAGAAATAAGTAAAAGCAAAGTAAAGGTGGCAAATATAGTAAAATAAGATGAAGTTTCTCAAAATAGTTTTTGTCAGTTGAAGTTCAATGTCCAAGGCATCATTCTCTAAATTTTTTTTTAAAATAGAGGTAAAAACTCTCATTTTTGTAGCTTATAAAAAGCTAATAATTACAAGCTACACCCACAAGCTTTTTTTAGTTCATGATTAGTTAGCACAGTGCATCTCAAACCTAACTGTATATAAAAACCACATGAAGAGTTTTAAACACACAGATTCCCAGGCTTTAGTTAGTGAACCAGAAATCTCTGGGGTAATGAAGCCAAAGATTGGGATTTTTAGTTTTTCAAAACTCCCTGGTAGAGTGCTACTTCTGGCCATGAGGGACTAACAAAAGCTATTAGCACATAAAACTAGAAAGTAGGACAAAATATAGGAAGTAGTTACTTTCAAACATTGTATAAAAAGCACTAAGGATTATGATCCCTGGAAAAAAAAAGGTGAAAAACAAGGAAAGTCCTGCTATGGCTCACATTCTTTTCATGTAAGTAATTTCTAGATAGTTGGTGGTGTGGGGAAGGTGAACTGATGAGAAACGGAAAAGGGTATCCAATTGAATCTGAGGAGAGATAAATCAATGATCAAGGAGAATGAGACTGCTAGAGTTTTCCTGGGAGGAGGGAGCTAATGCAGCAAGGGCTCAGAAATCTGCATAGGCATCCTTCTGAGTTTTTGCCTGAATGCTGTACCACTTAGCTATACCCCCAGTCCTTGTATTATCTATATGCTAGCAAAAACAATTGAAAACTGAAATATTTAGCAGTAAATTTAATGAAATATGTACAAGACCCTCCAATGAAAACTGTAAAATATTGCTGAGGGAAATTAAAGAAGTAACAAATGTATTGCATTTATGATTGGAAAACTCAATATCATTAATGTCTTATATTCTTCAAATTGGTCTATAGATTGAGTCAATCTCAATTAAAATCTTAGCGTTTTTTGGTACAAATTGACAAGATTTAAACAAATCACATGGAAATCAAAGGGCCTTGCATGTGCAAAGCATGAGGGAAGGGACAAATTTGGAGGAATTGCACTACCTGATTTCAACACTTACTCTATAGTTATGCGATCAATACAGTGTGATACTGTCATTGTGCAGTAAAGACATTAGATCAGAGATTAGTAGAGTCCAGAAGTAGATTAGTTGGTTTTCAACAAAAGTGCCAAAGTAATTTGGTGCAAGGGAAGATTCTTTTCAACAAAGGATTCTGGAACAGATATCCATATGGACAAAATGAAATTTATTGTAGACCAAAATATACAAACTAACTCTATTAAACTTCTAGATGAGAACATTAGAGAGAATCTTCATGACCTTTGAGAATACAAAGATTTCTTGTTTAGAACACAGAAAAGAATGAACATGAAAGCAATTTGATAAATTAGGCATCAGAATTTAAATTGTCTGAAAGGCATTAAGAAAATGCAAAAACACAGGCTGGGGATGTGGCTCAAGCGGTAGTGTGCTAGCCTGGAATGTGTGGGCGAGCACCACATAAAAATAAAATAAAGATGTTGTGCCCACCGAAAACTAAAAAATAAATATTAAAAAAAAAGAAAATGCAAAAACAAGTGCTGGTCTGGGGAGAGTATATTGATATTACATTTTTCTGATAAAAGATTTGTATCCGATAAGTAATGAGCAAAAATTTGAAAAAACCTTTCCCAAGAGAAGATATACAAATGACCTTAATATTCACATGAAAGATATTCAACATCATTAGTACATTTAATGGAAATTAAATCTACACTGGGAATCCCAAGCCAAATCATTAAGAATGGCTAAAATTAAGAAGGTTAACAATATCAAATGTGGTCAAGATGTGGAAATACTGAGCCTCTTGCACATTTCTGCTGGGAGTATGAAATGAGTAGCTTGGTAAAGAAGGTCTGGGGGAAAAGCCAATGGAATAAAACATGAGAAAAAGCACAGATAAAATATTAAATATTCTATAGGTTTAAATGTTTATATGGCTCTCTCTGGCTGCTTGTGTACGCATAAATCTGGAAATGAGGAAGCCAGTGACAAAGCTGTTTGCAGTAGTGCTAAATTAAGGTAACAGGCTCTTTTGGGGCAGTTGTAGGGTTAGCAAGTGAGTGATAGAATTGATCTGTTTGGAACCAGGACGTGGCTAAATTAACAAAAGTATAACACGAACGCATCTATATTTTTGTTTGGAACATACTTTTGCATTTAATGAATTGGTATATGATATTTCACAAATTCTTTTTAATCAAAATAATGAAATCATGACCAGAATAACTGTGGTTATGAGGGGTCAGTGGTGTGGGTTCAGGGAGGAAAGAGTTAGGTGTTGACTGTAAAAGGGCCACAGGAAGTATCATTGTGTGGATAGAGATGTTCTGTCTCTTGACTTTGTCAGTATTCTGGTTGTGATAGTCTATGCATTTACAAAGTTTTACCATAAGGGAAACTGTAGGAAGAATATACAGATTTTTCAATACTACTTCTTATAATTGCTGGTAAATCTATAATTATAATAGTTTTATTTTTTTAAAAAAAGACTGTTGATTATATAATATGCTTCTTGTGTGTGTGTGTGTGTGTGTGTTATACCTTACTATAGCGGTATGGAAGGAATTATACAAATTCATAACTATTTATTTGCTCTCCAAGACATTTATTTTCTTTGTGATTTTCAGACTACATTTGCCTAACTTTTATTATTTTTTATTTATTCAACCTTACTGTTTATCTTATGATTTCAGAGACATTCCATAAGTGGACCAATTTCAACATCTAAGCCCCTGACATCTTTGTCAGATAAGAGACCAAACTATGGGGAAATCCCTGTTCAAGGTACATATAATATATTGCAGTGTTTAATTTGTGTTTTTGGTTAATTTTTGGATTCTAATGGCTGCTTTGGCTAACTTATTTTTTTCTTTGCTCTTGATATTAGCAAATCTGGTATACATTTTTATCAGAAGTTTCCTTATTACAAGTGGGGGAAATGAGTTATTAATAGATGCAGATTTCACAATAACTTTGTTGTTACATTATAATAGGTGATGGAGAATGCACACTATTACTAGGCACTGTTTTCACAGTTCTTCATGGGATATGTATTATTGTCATTCCTATTTAATAGGCACTAAAAATGAGGCCTGAATAAGGTAAATAACTTGGTTAATGAAGAGTAGTCCTGGAAGCCTCACTCTGAGCCCATTTTCCATCTCCATGCTGCATATTGAAGCTGAGGCTTTAGAGGGTTAAGTTCAGCAACTCTTTGGAGCCCGCTGGAAAGGACTTGCCTTTCTCACACAGATCTTTATGGTAGAGTCCTCACTTGAACCTCTTTCCCTCCTTTTATAGTTTGAACTCCTTCTCTTATTCACACTGCTTGTTCATGTACCGAGGAAAGGTAACATCAGGGCATGGCACTTCATTTGGGGTGGGTTTGGCGCAGCTCCCAGGTGTTCACGTCACTCAGGGCCCAAGAGCTTTTCCGAACATGCTCCAGGCCAGTGATATTCATGCACGTGAATTTTCCAGGTTGTGAAATTTAGGCTGTGTGGGTGAAACTATAAGGTATCAACAAGTGTGAATGAGAAATCAGCAGGATTGTGAAACACATTCAGTTAAAGAGCTGAGAGGACTGTCTCCTTGAGCTCCATGTAGCACCAGTGCCTAAAGAGTTGAGTTTGGTGATTGAATGGACCCCCATACCTATCAGTCTTGAGTGTTTGGATAAGCTGATTTTGCACACATTGGAAGACAGTGGAGCACAAGATGGTGCTGCTGCCCCTTTTCCTGCACAAAGTCTTGCTTTCTATCCCTGCTTATTGGCTTCTGGTTCATTTGATTAATTGTGACCTGAGCTTTTTTTTCCTCCCCTTAAAAAATCCTCTTGCTCAGGGGACAGATAGTAGAAGGTTTCAAGTCCCCTTTATCTGAACACTCTTCTTTCTTGACATACCACCTTGCAGTGGATCCTCAAAAGATTTATATTTGTGTAGCACAGAATCATTGGCCTCACCATGGCCTGGCCTTTGACCTCTTAATGCTGTACCCTCATCTGTGAATGAGAAGCAGTGATGAACACCTACCTCACAGGTTGCTTAAGTTTTTCTCCCTGTCATCAGATTTTCACCCTTATACTCCACTGATGCTGCTGATGTTGAGGTTTTCAGTGACCACTCCGTCATTACCCAGTCAGCTCTTTATCTTAATCTGCCAGCAGCATTTGGTACTGTTGAGTGCTCCCTTTTCTGGAACATTCTTTTTGGTTTCCCTGACACCACACCTTATATCTCATCCTCTCTCCCAGGCCACTCTTTCTCCATCTCCTATGCTAACTTCTCTTTTTTCCTTGAATTATAAATAGTTGCATGGCCCAGAGCTCATGTCCTAGGCTTTTATTCCTTATCTGTACACATTCTCTTTGCTATTGTCTTTTCTGTCATGGCTTTAAGTGCTACTTAAAATACTGTCATATTTATGTCTCCAGTCTGTCCTCAATTGCCTTTCTGGCTTCATTTCTTTCCCTCTTACTCACTCTGCCTAAACATATGGGCATCCTTGCTTCTGTGGGCAGTTAGGAATACTCCTAACTTAGAAACCTTCCTGGCTCTTCTCTTGCTGGGACGCTGCCTGAATGTTTTGATGTCCCTTCCAACTCGACTTCAAGGCTTCACTCAAGTTGTTCCTCCTCAGGGAGGCCCTGCGTTCCAAAGGTAAAGTTGTTAATATGTCTAGATGGCACCTTTCTTCCACATGCCTGTACCCTGCTTGTTCTCTTTAACACTTGTTCCCTTTTAACATCCACATGCTCTGTACTTTTTATTGTCTTTCATTCCACTAGATCATAGTTCTGTGTGGTAGGATTTGTCTGTTTTGATCACTGAAGTGTCCTCAACACCTGTAAAAGTCCTAGGCTCTTGATAAACAATTGTGAGATAAGTGAGTGAAAGAAAAGCTAAAGCCTTATAAAGTGCTTAGCACAAAAACCCACAGTAAATATCCACTGTTTGGTTTTATTGCAATATTACGAACTTTCAATTAGTAGTACAAATGACTGAGAGTAGTGGGTCATAATAATCTACAAATAAAAGATTTTCAGCAGCTGAGTTTTACAGATTTTTGCTTGCTGCCAGCAAATAGCCCAGAGAAAGCATCCATATGAGTTGTGTCCTGGGCCTCTTCAAAAAACTGTGTATATTGAAGTCAGAGGTGGAAACCAGTGGCTCAAGAGCATTCCCATTCTGCCTCAAGGAAATATGTCCTGATTTTGTTAATCAAATCAGATATATATATATATATACACAAACACACACACACACACTTTTTTAAATTGTAGATAAACACAATACCTTTATTTATTTTGTGTGGTGCTGAGGATCGAACCCAGTGCCTCACACGTACCAGGCAAGAGCTCCACCACCAAGCCATATTTTTAACCCCTAAAATCAGCCTTTTGATCTGCAGTGAATGCCAGTAATGGTTAGAGCCAAAAGCCAGGCACGCCATGGCCTCTGAGAGTATGTGTAACACTGTGCCATTGCCCTGGAGCCCTGATTCTAGCTTGGCCACAGCTGTGTGGTACTAACCTGAAAAAGCCCCCATCTGGAGGGCTTTGGATAATCCTCAGACATAAGAGAGTATCAAGTCTGGCCTCCCAGCTGGCCTCTGAGGAGGATGATGAGAAATGACTCAGGACTTTACTAACCTTGTGAGCCCAGGCTGTAGCCAGCCCTAATTGCCTTCTCTACTCTCACTGCTGTGTTCCCAGCCCATCTTGGTTGGCCACAGCAGGATGATTTTTATGAGGGATGGTTCCAGCAGTGTTTCTCAAACTTACCTGAGCCACTTCTTAAATAATGGGATCCTAGGTTTTCTTTTACATTATAGACTCTATAAAGAAAGGGAGGTTGGAAATCCCATTTTCATAAGCACCCAGAGTGATAAACTTGGGAAACTGGGCAAAAAAAAATTACAGCCATTTAGTTATTTCTGTTACCTTGGCTTTTGTGAGTGGGGAATGAGTGTGGGGCAAAGTTATCGAAGACACACTAAATGCCTTGAAATTCTAGACTCTCATTTTATTATCTGATAATGCCATGGGSCATGGGATGTATGCTGTTTGTGTTAATGTTGGTCTCATTCTCCACTCCAGCTTCTTAAAATGTTTTCATGGGGCTTAGTTGGAATATTGTAAATATAGCAGGCAAGGGAATTTTTACCTGGGAAGTTGTCAATACAGTGATCTTTTATCTTAAATAGTGATTCAAGAAAGTAACCACTTACAAAACTGAAAATTAGCAAGTGATTCTTAGCCATAAAAAAGCACTGTGGTTATCCGTACTATGATAAGATAGTAGGATTCCGAGTTCTGTCTTGAACTGTTTTTCTTCCTTGATTGTCTTGTTTATCTTGGTGTACATTTAAAAAAAAAAAAAAACATAGTCTGTAAAGTTACATAGGCTGTAACTTTCAAAGTTTCAGTGATTTCATTGCTAAAATTTTAAAAGGTGCTGTCTCTTATTCCACTTACCCATTTTTTGGTGTGTGGGGGGCAGGGGTACTGGGGATTGAACTCAGGTGCACTCATTGATCACTGAGCCACATCCCCAGTCCTATTTTGTATTTTGTGTAGAGACCGGGTCTCACTGAGTAGCTTAGCGCCTCGCCATTGCTGAGGTTGGCAATGAACTTGTGATCCTCCTGACTTAGTCCCCCTCTTCCCCCCAGCCACTGGAATTACAGGCATGCACCACTGTGTTCGGCTCTGCTTAATTAGAGAATTTTGATTTTTCTGATTAAGTATTTTATGATAGTTTTTTTTTTTTAATCACCATGCCTGTATGTCATTTTCAAGAAAATGTTTCAGACCAGAGAAACCTTGTTATACACGGACTAATCAAATGGCTAGGGTCATGAGTGGTGTCACCTCAGTAATTTGTGAATAGTGTATGAATTAGCATTTATGACTTAAACAGAAAAGCATAGATCTGCTACTATGTAGCAGAGGTTACTGATACAAACAGTTGAAAAGGTCTTTACTGTCCTCATTTGCACAGTGATCTTATGTGGTATAGAATATTAAGCAGTAATCTCAGTTGGCTGATAGAAGTGGTTGAAGAGCCAGAGATTGCCCCAGTACCAGTGTAGTGTTATTTTCACCTCTCATCAGCTCAGATCTGTAATGACGCTTCAGTCAACTATAGACCACATGTACAACAGTAGCAGTGTCATAGAGCCCAGGAGCATAGTAGGCTATATCATCCATGTTTATGTAAGCATATTTGTACAATAGAAGAAATTTGCCTAACAACCCACCTCTCAGAATATATCTCTGTTGTTTAAGTGATACTTAAACAAATACTCTAGGCAGTTGATTAGTCTGAGTGTTGTCATTATTTATACTGATACTAACCTCTTACTTGTGACTCTTTTTCCAGCTTTCTTTTGGTTGGTGCTTGCATGGCATATCTTTTCCCTTCCTTTTGCTTTTAACTTATCTGTTTTTATGTTTAAATTGGGTTTTTTTAATAGGTAGTTTATAGTTGGGTCTTTTTAATTTATTCTGACAATCTGTCTTAATGGTGCATTTAGACTCTTCACCTTTTAATAGAATTGTTAATATGGTTGGACTAAAATCTACCATCTTGATAAATGCTTCTATTTGACCTGTCCTATTTCTTTATTTATATCCTTTAATAACTTTTTGTTAATGGTTGCTTTAGGTTAAGGTTCATCAGCATTGGCCTTATTGACATTTTGGGCTTCACAAATCTTGGTTGTGGAAAGTTGTTTTGTACATTGTAGTATGTTTAGTAGTATCCTTGGCCTCTGTCCAATTGGGAGTAAGTACCCATTAGGATACCAGTATCATCTCCATGGTCCCAGCTGGGGCAATATCTCCATATTGCGGGGGAGGGCACAAAATTACCTTCAGCTGAGAACTGGAAAAAGAAACATGGTTTTCACAGTTTTGTCTAATTTTGGCAGAGAAACCAAATGGGGAATCCTAACTGACTTTGCATATTTTCTGCCTTTTCTATTAGACAGAAAATTACTTGAAATGCTCTAACACAGATAGTTACAGCATCTGTGCCATATTTGAGTACTTTTTAATTTTTGTATTATGTTGTGTCTTGGAGTAATGAGTTGGAAATATCCAAAATATGGCTTTTTTTCTTTTTTGTATTTTTACAATGTTTTATTGAAAATTGGACATCTTACATAAAAAGTAGATTGGCTTTATGTCTTAGAATAGAATTTTTTTCCTTTTGCTAGGTCTTTTACTGTGTGAGTTTGAGGTAGTTTACTCAGGAGCTAAACTGGGTTGGAGATTTGTTGTTGCTGTGATTACCCTTGGTGTAGAATAGGCTTCTAGTTCTTCTAGTAATATTTTACGTTTAGAATGGGAACTRGGTTTCCAGAGGGATTTGTTGTTGTTATTTTGTTTTGTTTTTAATGTCTTCTCCAATTTCAGCTTTATCCTGCCCCTTGCATTGTATCCAGGGGAAAGTCTATCTAGTATTCTTGGAACTCTTTCAGCTAACAATTTCCTACTTGTTCATTCTTTGGGAACATATTTCCCTTTATAACCTTGATCACATTTATAATAACTGCTCTAAATTCTTTTCTGCTAATACTTACATTTAGGCCATCTTCAGATAGACTTCTATGTCTTTTAAGTGTAGATCATTTTTTTTCCTTTATCTTTGTGTATCTTGCAATTTTGGATTCTATCCTAGGCAATTATAAATCATACATTATAGATATTCTTGATTGTATTACAGTCCTATGAAGCATATTGGTTTTTATTTTAGCAAAAACTCCAAATTCTCTCCTGTAATCGAAATACCTCTCTAGTTTTTTGCCCTTGATATAACTCCTCAAAGTATGAATACATGTGGATTTCAGAGGTCAATGAGAGATTGAAGCAGAGTTTACAAACAAAATTTGGCCTCTTTTTTTGTTATTTTCTGGTAGTTCCTCCATCTTTCACTTTCCAACAACTTTTCAGCAGCTATGGTTTTATGTTCTCTTCAAGGTAATAAGACTGTGACTTTTAACCAAATATTATCTGTCCCAGTTGACCTCAGCTGGAGCCTATATTTATGAAAAAAACAGATTAAAATTAAAAAATAAAATTAGTGAACTCATCCACTGCATTTTCCTTCTTCCATGTGTATACTTCCTTCATTTTCTGTCTACTTTTAGTTTCTCTTTGGTGCTTTTAAACAATTGATTTTCATAGTTTTTCAAGATTTTACAGTTTTCTGCAGGACCATTGTTCCAATTGGAATTCCTCCTCTATATATAGAAGTTAGATATCCAGATTCCTATGTTTATTTAACTTTAAAAAATAGACAAATGCACCTCTTTTTTCGGGACAGGGAGTATTGGCGATTGAACCCATGAGCATTGCGCCCCTGAACTACATCCCAGCCATTTTATTTTATTAACAGTCTCACTAAATTGTCCAGGCAGACTTTGAGTTTGTGATCCTCCTGCCCTAGCTCCTGAGTAGCTGGGTTTACAGGCATGTGCCACTTTGTGTGGCAAAGACACCTATTTTAAACCTGATAATTTTGCCTATAAATTTGACTTGACACACAGGGAAGGGACAACTGTACCTATTTATTTCTATGATTTCTAAAATAAGAATTAAATAGCAGACTTATCCACTTATATTATCTCCAGCTGTCTGTTGGAAGTAAACAGAATATATCTCTGGTTACGCCCTTGGGCTTTCTGAGATGCTATTAGCTCATGCTATTATTGATTATTTCCTTCTTCTATATCTTCCATCTTAACAAGCTCCTTGCTATCATCATTTTAAAATGTTCACATTTTTTCTACATTAAAAAAAGATCTGTAGCTGGGTGCGGTGTCAAACACCTATAATCCCAGCAGCTCAGGAGGCTGAGGCAGGAGAATTGCTAGTTCAAAGCCAGCATCTGCAAAAGTGAGGTGCTAAGCAACTCAGTGAGACCCTGTCTCTGAGTAAAATACGAAGTAGGGCTGGGGATGTGGCTGAGTGGTCTAGTGCCCCTGAGTTCAATCCCTTGTCTCCCCCCCACCTCCAAATCTGCCTCTTGTCATCCACTATTATACCTTCTCCCTTACACTTGCACAATTTATCACATCTTTCCTATCTGCCACTCAGTCTTCAACACATGCTAATCTTCTGTCTCCACCAATTGCTCTCACCAAGGTGACCTTTGACCCCTGTGTCTCCAAGTACACTCCCTCTTCAACAGCTATTAGCTAATAATTTCCAATATTATACATTTACTTCAGACTTTTTTCTTCGGAACTCTTGCTCTGGTTGCCAACTCCTTATCTCTCCTTATAGATCTCAGAGGTTCTCAAATGCAGCATGTTTGCCTCTACTTTTTCCAAAATACTTCTATCTTTTCTTAGTATAGTAACATCATCCTCCCTACCTCCACATCCACTCAGATAGCAAGTCTGTTGTTGCTACCTTTTAAAAGAATTCTTTAATCTGTTCACCTTACATCTTCACTTGTGTCACCCAAGTCCAAGTCATTGTCATCTGTTTTCTGTACCATTTAACACATTATCTGGCATGAACATCTTTAATACACTGCAGCTAGAACATTGCTAACCTGATAAAACCTTCATTGTCTCCTCCAAACTCCGAGTAGTTCACCTGCTTGACTTTCCATTGCCTTTGCAGCCTCACCTTGCTCTGTTCTTCCCCATGGCTTCAGAACATCACCATCTTGCTAAACATGTAAATTGGGAACACTTTCCCTCCAAACTCTCCTTTGCCTTTATAAATGCAATTAATTATCCTTCTGGTTTCAACTTCACTGTCATTTCCTGAGCAGGCCTTTCGGGACCTTCCCTGAAGACTAGTTGTGTCATCCACTGGGTTCCTAAAATCCCTCATGAATAGTTAGATGTCTGCCTTCGTCTGTAGACTTAAGTTCAAGAAGGCAAGTTTCTTATTTCCTTTCTTCCTTTCTCTGACCTTTGCACTCAGTCCAGTGCCTGGAAAACAGTGGACACCCAAATGGTTTTTGTTTAATAAATGAATTAAGATAAGAATAGTTCCATAAGGCAATAGAATAGAATCTATTACTGTAAAATGTAATGCACTAATCTTATTTCCTGAAGAGAGCTAAACTGACAGTTTGACATGAAGACAGAAACCAGCCTGTTCACTGCAGAAGTAAATGGTCCTGTGTTCTTACTGTGACAAGTGCCTCTGGGCAGCTTTGATTCTCAGTGAAAATACTTCATGAAATAAATGGCAGCAGACTGTTTTGTGACTGTTGCAAATTTCAGGTAGTTTTGGGGGACTGTGTACTAGGTTTGGAACCCAGAGCCTCATGTGTGCTAAGCATCTGCTCAACCACTGAGCTATACCCCAGCTCTACCACAAGAATAACCTGTTTGGACTTCCAGTACATTTTTAGAAAGTTTAGCTGTTGTACTATGGCAGGGACTATCTGCCAAATGGAAACAGACATGGATGGATCCTTAGCAGATGTGCAGTAAAAAAAGACTGAACTAGAATTAGACATTGGATACAGATATCAACAATAAATTTTGTGAACATGTTCCCAATCATGTGCCTTTAAAGTATATAGTAAAAGAGAAAAGATTGAATAAGGCAACTTAGACACACTTTCCATGTGGATAATGACCTAGGTTTTTGGTTTGTCTGTGAGCGAGCGGAAGGGCTCTCTACCACTAAGCTACATCTCCAGCTCTTTTTATTTTTTTGTTTTGAGACAGGATCTCACTAAATTGCCCAGACTGGCCTTGAATTTGCAATCCTCCTGCCTCAGTCTCCCAAGTACACAGGCATACAATTTATCTGTATTTTTAAAATATATATATTTATTTTTTGTAGTTGTAGTTGGACACAACAACTTTATTTTATTTATTTATATGTGATGCTGAGGATCGAACCCAGGGCGAGTGCTCTACTGCTGAGCCATAACCCCAACCCCTATTTGTCTTTTTGATCTTTGTTTTCACTTTCTTAATTTTCCGTGTTGTTCTTTGGAAGACTCAGATTTTTAGGGTAATAATCCCCTAGTTTCAAAATTGTAGAATGGAAGTTTTGATTAAATTTAAAGTGTTGATTTCTGTTTCTGCTATTTCCATGTTCTGCTAACTTTGTTTTGTCAGACTTTGTGCATAGTATGTTCTTCCTATAAGGATAAATGCCAACTGTTGACAAGGTTCAGGATTCTGATTGATGCATGCTTTTTCTCTAACTTATACCTTTGCTCTGATTTTTATCTGGATGAAATATAGTCCCCCAACCTTCTCAACTAATAAGGCCCAGCTTAATGCCATTATGTTTTGAAGCCTTCTCTGCTGCTAAAAACAAAAGGAATGGCTTTTCCCTCTGTGGTTTGACAGCACGTTACCATCCTGATATTCTGATTATCCTATCCAGACTTGTCTATGGCTATACATATAGTGTATATACATAGTGTCCCTACTAATCATAGGCACATAGGGCAAGGTTTTATTTAGTTTGTGCCTTAGACCTAGATCTGATAGGGAATCTGTAAATTTTTGTTGAATTGCATTGAAGAGGTAAATGACAAGGACTTAGAAACATTTATCTATATAGAGAGTCATCCCTAGAAATAAAATATTGAAATTAATGATTTACCATGTTCCCTATCTACATTTTAGATTGTTGGAGTGCTTTAGGAAGAAGAATGAACTTCAAGTTTTAGAGAACTAAAACTCTTCCTTATACCTATATTACTTCAATGTTCAGCATCAGATTTGTTTATTGTGATCCTTTCCCCTTTTACAGAACATCTATTAAGAACATCTTCAACCAGCCGACCTGCTTCTCTACCAAGAGTACCCGCCATGGAAAGTGCCAAGACTATTTCAGGTAATGACTTTTATCTGATTTTTCTTTTAAAAGACTTCCCCAGAAGTATTTAATAGTATAATAGATGACATATTGAAAATATAGCTTCATGCAGAGTTGCTAGAGTTGCAAAGTACACCAAAATTTTTTTGGAAGCTAAGCTTTCCAGTGTGGTAAAACCATCATATAATGATGAATTTGATGGTCTTTGTTTGTCATCTGATCCTAACTCTCCCGTTTATCAATTGTTTATATTATTTTTTCCTCATGGCCTTAACACTTAATAGCTCGACTATAAAAATGGGACCATAAAAGAAGAAATTCCTATAACTCTGCCTCAGTACAGTTAATGCCCTCCTTGTATATGAAGTGAGCTTTGTACAGCTTTCTTCTTCCCTCCCTCCCTCTTTTTTTAAAATATTTTTTTAGTTGTAGATGGACACAATATCTTACTTTATTTATTTTCTTTATGTGGTGCTGAGGATGGAACCCAGTACCTCACATGTGTGAGGCAGGTGCTTTACCACTGAGTCACAGCCCCTCCCTTCCTCTTAATATGACATGTGGATCAGGACTTTGTATAGTTCTCATTACACCATAGCTAAGTTGTTAAACTAGTAGGAAAGTTCTGCGATCAGCTAATATTACTATCCCAAGGCCTTTTTCTGTATGTTTTTCTTATAACAGAATTCTTCAGATTCTTTCACAATCTGTTTTCTCTATTTTATGGAAAATTTTGAGAGGTTTTCTCTTTCGGTTTCCTAGCATACCACTTAAAAGAAGCTACTGGTTTAAGACATAAAAAGAGCTGGGGGAAAATGAGTAATTATAATATTATGCCAGAAATATATAAGCATTTTATTCTAAAATCAAATAATAGTAGAAAGCATCTGTCCCCTTCGGATGTTTAAGAGGATAGCTTTATTAATGCAGAATTATATGCTGCTGTGGTTATCTTAAAATCATCAGTAAAAGTGTTATCTAATAAAAGAAGGACAGTTTTTACAAATTGTGAGGAAAATATGACTGTTATATAACATTGCTTGCATTAAAATTAGCTCAGGAATGTTACAGTTAATGGCTCTTGTGGCCCCATCCTCTTCTGAGGTTAAAGAGGACTGTATGAGGTCAGGGACTTGTGTGCTTCACTTGTCACTGTGCTCAGCCTGGTATCCTCAGCATCCAGCAGTGCCAGTGTTGTGCCCAGCGCCACCCTGGTAGATAGTGGCTTTTGTTGCAGCTGTATCAGAAGTCAAAGGGCTGCTTCCACTTAAAAATCCCCAGAACTTTCATAATTCTAACAAGGTGCAGTGCCTTACTATGTCAGACTCTCAAAATAGGACTTTTCAGAAGATTGTGGCCATTTCTCAGTAATTGACTCAATACCTTTTGGTTTTCTGTTTGTCTCATTGGTTTGTTTTTTTTTTTTTTAAATTGGGCCTGACCTAGAATTACATATAGTCTTATAAACAAGCATCTTTCCTTTCTGTCCTCTTAATAGTGTTTTTGGCTAAGTTCAGAAAGAATGTATTGATTTTCATACATCCTGGGTATTGGGCAGGATTGAGTAGTTGCAAGTATTGCTCTGGTTTTTTAATTATATTTGTAATTAAGCTGACTATATATAGTACTCACTATGATACTTGCTTAGTAGAGCAATGGTAAGATACTTCTTGTCCAGGGAAAATGGGATTCCATACATATTTCAACTACTATACTTTTCACAGATTTTTTTTAATAAAAAATTTAAAAAATCAATAAGATAAAGTAGTATCTGTTCTTTTTGGACTCTTCAAAGCAAAAATCTCAAGAATACAATCTAAAATGTTTTTGCTCTAATATGCTTAATTACTGTTTCTCATACTCAGTATCTCGAAGAAGTAGTGAAGAAATGAAACGGGACATTTCTGCACCTGAGGGAGCATCACCAGCCTCTCTTATGGCTATGGGAACAACGTCACCACAGCTGTCCCTGTCCTCTTCTCCTACCGCATCTGTGACCCCCACGACCCGCAGTCGGATAAGGTAGAGAATAGTTAGTGTTGGTACATTTCATGTGTACCTTTCCTGGCCTTTCAGATCAGCTTATAAAATAATGCCATCTGAGCACCTGAATTTGTTCTATTTTTTTTTTATTTTTATTTTTAAGAGAGAGAGAGAGAGAGAGAGAGAATTTTTTTAATATTTATTTTTTAGTTTTCGGCAGACACAACATCTTTGTTTTGTATGTGGTGCTGAGGATTGAACCTGGGCCGCACATATGCCAGGCGAGCGCGATACCGCTTGAGCCACATCCCCAGCCCTTTGTTTTTCTTTTTAAATAGAGAATGATTGAGTGCAAAAATAGGTACAGGTTGAGCATCCCTAGTCTGAAATCTGAAATGCAAGACTTTTTGAGTACTGACATCATGCCCCAAAAGTTTTGGAGTTTGGATTTTGGGATTAGAGATGCTCAAGGTTGAGCCTTTATGCAAATATTCCATAATCTAAAAACTCTGAAATCTGAAATATTTTGGCCTCAAGTATTTCAGATAAGGAATGTTCAACCTGCATTTTGAAATTTGAACCTTGGTAGTGTTAGAGAAGGCTTCATAGAAGGGTAGAATTTGGGTGGGGCTTTGAAGGTTATAGTTGGGACATTATTGGTAAGTTGAGTAACTTGAGTGAATATACCAAAGGGATGAATAAGCAAGTCAGGCAAACAGATTTAGGGTATTGAAACAAAAGACCAGAGTAAAGTATCCCAACCATATCATGGGGTAATAGAAAACAAGATTGAATAACTAGGGTATGCTAGGTGATAGAGGAACCTCTTCAAAGTTAAATTGAGTCACTTTTTGATATAGTAGAAGCTATAAAGCAGGGTAAGTTAATTTGTGTGAGAAGGTGATTAAAGGATTCTTTTATTCTGGATAAAAGGGAAAATAGCTAAAAGGATATTGTAGTATTGCAGGACACAGTCATTAAGTCTTAGCAACAGAGACAACAGTGGAAAATTGCTGAAGAGAAGGTTAGGCCCCAGGAGTTTTTTCAAAGGGAAAGATGACCTCAGCRACAGTTTTTTTCAAAGAAATGCAAAAATGGGAGATGCCAGAGGTGGCTGTAATTATTTAGATGGAAATCAGGAAGCATGATGCTAAGTAGTTGATAGGCAATACGTGAATATGCAAGTTTATATTGTTTTCTTAGTTTACTTATGTTAGATGTCTCCTTGGCCTAAGAGGTAGTAAGACCTTAGAGGAAAAAGATAAATGTCAGAAATTGAGCACACATTGTTCATAGGAATGAGGAAAAACTGTTGACAAGTATCAAGAATAGGCAGAGGAATAGGAAAGGGTTTGAGGAATTTAGCTGCATATTAATTTACAGGGTTAAGGATAAAATGCAATATTTAGCCTCTCAGACTCTAGTTATGAGCTTACTTTTATTTTATTTTATTTTTTTTAAGAGAGAGTGAGAGAGGGGAGAGAGACAGAGAGAGAGAGAGAGAATTTTTAATATTTATTTTTTTTTAGTTCTCGGTGGACACAACATCTTTGTTGGTATGTGGTGCTGAGGATCGAACCCGGGCCGCACGCATGCCAGGCGAGTGCGCTACCGCTTGAGCCACATCCCCAGCCCTGAGCTTACTTTTAAAGCCATACCTCCAAGGGGGGCCAATCTCTGAGAAAAGTGGTCCCATAAGCCGTGCATCTTACAAGCAAATAGGCAGTGCAGTGATGAAGAAGAAGCTCAGGGAACCCTGGCTATGCAGGGAAGTGACTTTCAGTGCTTTCACTTTGTGTCCTAAGTTATGGGCACTCTCACTGTGCTTGTGCAGAGGGAACCGGGGCTTGGAACAAACAACAGCCACTTCTGTTGGATTCCCCACTTACAAACTGTGCTCTTTGCAAGGCTTTAAGTTTTTTCTGGCCTTAGTTTCCTCATCTTACTTAGATTGAAGAAGTGACAAGAGCTAGCCCTCTAGCTTCAGGAGGTTCTTTTCTGCAGCTTCTCCTTATGTCCACAGAATTTACTCTGATGTTTTTTAAGCTGTTTCTAAAATAAAGTTTACTTAAACCATGTTATCCAGAGTAAGCCTTCCATATATATTGTAATATTGATTGATTGATTGATTGATATTGGGAATGGAGCCCAGGACACTCTACCACTGAGCTCTATCCCCAGCCCTTTTTATTTTAAGATAGGGCCTTACTAAATTGCTGAAACTAGCCTCAAACTTGCAATCCTAGGACTTGGTGAGTAGTAGCGCACACCTATAATCCCACCAGTTTGGGAAACTGAGGTAGGAGAATCCTGAGTTCAAGGCCAGCCTCAGCAATGACAAGGCACTAAGCAACTCAATGAGACCTGTCTCTAAAGAAAATACAAAATAGGGCTGGGGATGTTGTTCAGTGATTGAGTGCCCCTGAGTTCAATCCTTAGTACCAAAAAGGAAAAAAAAAAAAAAAAACTTGTAGTCCTCCTGCCTCAGCCTCCCAAATTGTTTAGATTACAGATATGTGCCACTGTGCCCAGATTACATCTTTTAATTTTATTTTCTTTCCCTATGTTCATTGATATTATATAGACTTCTTTGAATCTTTTAAACCAAATCAGGAATCTAGTGGACTGGCACACAAACATAAGTGTCTATATTTATGGCAGCAATCTAACTGTGCATTGAATAAAACCTTGGTGTTTTACTTTTGGTTCTAAAGTAAATAAAAATTGGTACTATTTCAATGCACCTTTCTTTTGGAAGAGCTTCAATTCTAAACATGTCCTCTTTGATTTTGCAACATACGATAAAAGGTGAATGCTGAGAGGATAAAAGTGCTGAATAATGCTAACATTATTCGGGTACTGAATTCCTGGGGCATTTGGCTAGAGTCTTTGCTTAAATCATAGAAAAATTGATCAATCTTTTAAGAACAGGCTACTTGTTAAAGAGTATGTTACAAAGCCCTCTTTTTCCCGATATTCCTTAGTATTCTGTTCTACTTCTAGAATAGCTACTACAAGGAAGAATTTGGTATAGAATAGGGTTATATGCCTCCCCAGTCCCATCACCAGGGGTGATTACAGAACCTTTTTTATTTCATCATCTAGTCTGGGGCAAGATATTTATTGTACCTACAAAGCAATTAACAATGCCAAATGTGCCTTACTAGAATTTCTTTAAATGAATTAAATAAAGCCACTGCTTTTTTTTTGGCGGGGGTGGGGGGGTGGGGGGGAGGGTTGCTGGGAATCAAACTCAGGGCCTTATGCGTGCTAGGGAAGAGCTCTAGCACCAAGCTTATATCCCCAATCCCAGCCATTGAATTTTCCCTGTGAGTTTCTATAATATGTGCATTGTATAGTAAGCTCAAGTTTCTTGAAGTGGCAGGGACTCTGTGTTCACCATTAGTTGCCTAGCACTGGCACAGTGATGTTCTGTAAGGTGACATTGAATGAATTTTCTCTATAAGGTGACATTGAATGAGTTCATAGGAAAGTTAAATTTTCTATGCAACACAGAATGGTAATTGTCTACAGACAATAAAGAGTATACAACTTGCCGAGTGTGGTGGTGCAAACCTGTATACTACAGAAGGATCATTTGAGCCCAAGAGTTTGAGACCAGTCTGGACAACGTAACCTGACATCATCTCCAAACAAACAAACAAAAACAAAACAAGAAAAAAATGCAACATGGCAGTAAACACACCTGAGATATTTTATGGAAGTGATAAATGTTTGTAATGTTTATTGCCATCTTTTATCCTATCTGCTTACCTCAGTTGTAAGCTCTGTGAAGCCTGGAGCTATGTCTTAGAAACCTCCACCTTGCTTAGGCTTGCCTTTTGTATTTACAGTAAGTGATTTTTTAAAAAACGATGAGATGATTAAGGACATAAAAGTTTAGAAACAAAAATGGAGTAAAATAAACCAAAGCATAAAAATGAATGGTTAAAATACTGAATGAAAGACAGCCTGGACAATTTTAGATGCTGCAGAATCAAGATGTTTCCCCCACTCTTCTGAGCATCCTGGAATATATCTCTGCTATTGTGAATTCATTTGCTACCGAGTCTTTGCTAGAGGGATGAGTAGAGTCCCAGCCTTCAGAAAGCAGAAACCCCTGACAGCTGTGGGTCTGTGTGGGACCAAACTAAAAATTGATATAAAAATCAAAGAAATGAAAAGACATGTTTTGCTGTTGAAATATTGATGTATTGCTCAATGTGTTCATTTATCCAGTTCAAAAATGCAAACTAATGTTGTTTTGTTATTCTGGTGCTCAAATAAATAATAATGAAATTTTGGGTTTCTTATTTTCACTTATCAGGGAAGAAAGGAAGGACCCTCTCTCAGCATTGGCAAGAGAATATGGAGGATCAAAGAGGAATGCCTTGTTGAAGTGGTGTCAGAAGAAAACGGAAGGCTATCAGGTAATCATATGGTTTTTATTTTTGTTTTTTTGTCCTGCATGAGCAATTGCTGAACCAAGTGCCAGACTGTCATAACTTGTTTCATATAGCCATCCAAAATGAATCTTATTCTGAATTTCAAGAATACATTCTCAAGTCCAATCTAAACTTGGCAGAGTATTATTTGGATGGAATAAGTTTCTAACCTTTCTAGAGTAGCCATTCTTTCTATTTTATTTAGCTATTCTAGTACTTTTATAAGTCCAATTTAAATGCTTTTGTTGAGAATATCTTCTGGACTAAGAGTAAAAATTACTTATTTCACTTAAAATGAATATATATTTATCATGCTTATATCTCTTACTTATTTTTTATGGCATTTACCCATTCCCATTGTGCTTTGTGCTTTCATCATTTCACATCTGAACTATTGTAATATTCTGCCATTTCCTCCCCTTCTGTCTCTATTTCTTTCAGTGTTTTATTCAAATTGTAAGTGATACTAAATACCACTTTGGAGAGCAAGCTCTAATTCCATATAAAATGAAAATTTCTAAAATGTATTCCTTATATTGCTAAAAAACATAATTTAGATTCCAAGTATCCTCACAAAGGATTTTAGTTACAGAGACTTTTCCCAGCTTGCAGCTGATATTCTATCATATTTGGTACAAATGTGCAGAAGTGAACACAAGAAGGTAATCAGAATTCTGTGTTCTTGGTTTTATCACATCAGCCTTCATCTCAACAAAATAACAAAAAGGAGCTAACTGCAACATTTTCAGAAAATGTTTCTACAAAAGAGGTRATAAAGTAGTAGATGAACAGATTAATAAGATCTGCCATTAGAAGGTTCCTTTTGGACAAATTTTAGATAACTTTAAACAGTCATCTTCAGCTCATTGAGGAGTAAGAGCCAAGTGTATTATAGTGGACATAAAGAAAAGTCATAATAATTATTGAGGAGCAACTAACATTTTACATATCTGCAGCTTCTATTCGCTAAAAGGAGGTTAATAATATTAGTAAGATGTGGAAGAAGAGGTAGCCTTATGTGCCTTGATGGCAGAATGTAAAATGAAAAAACTGCTATGGGAAATAATATGGCAATTCCTAAAAAATTATCATGTAATGTCTTGAACCCTTACCTTAAATAAGAAGAAAGATCTTAAAGCAGTTACTTAACTTTCCAACTTAAGAAAGTAGAAAAAGAAGAGCAAACAAAATCCAAAACAAGCTGGAAGAAGAAAATACTAGAACAAAAATAAGAAGAAAAACAACAAAGATTTGTGGGGCAAAAAAAGTTAGTTCTTAAAAAAGATTAACAAATTGACAAACTTTATCTGGAGTGACCCCAAAAAAATAAATAAATAAAAGGGGAGACAGTAATCATGACCGTACAAAAATAAAAAGGATTAAAAGGGAATGCTGTGAAAAATTGTATGCCTACAAGTAGGATAATCTAGATGATATGTACTAATTCCCAGAAATTCACCAACTGTCAAAACTAAGAGTAAATAAAAACTAAGTAGACAAATTAACAACTATAAAGAGATTGGATTAGTAATCAACAAGTTTTCAGCAAAAAAAAAAAAAAAAGCCTACCAGGTAGCTTCACTGGTTAATTCTTCCAAATATTTAAACAATATTTAGCATCAGTCCTTCCCAAATTTTTAAAAATCAAAGAGAAGATCACATCCTAACTCATTCTGTAAGGTCAATATAACACTGATAAATAAAACCAGACAAGAGATGTAAGAAAATTACAATGTAGTGCTGGGGCTGGGGCTCAGTGGCAGAGTGCTTGCCCTAGCATGTGTGGGGCACTGAGTTTAATCCTTAGCACCTCATAAAAGTAAACAAATAAAATAAAAGCATGCTGTCCATACTCAGCTACTAAAAAATAAAAAGAAGAAAATTACAGTGCAAGGCCACGAATTCAATCGCCAGCACCATACAGAAAAGAAAACTACAGATCAGTATTCCTTATGCAGAAGCTCTCAATGAAATAATGATAATATATCAAAAAATTTTTTTTACCATGACCAAGTGAGATTTATCGCAGAAATGCAAGATTGGTTCAACATTTAAGTTTATCATTGTAATACACCATATTATTAGATTAAAGCAGGGAAACCCCACGTGATTATTTCAATAGAGTAGAAAAAGCATTTGGCAAAGTTCTACAGCCATTCATAGTAAAAATACCAAACAAACTAAGAATAAAAGAAGAATTTTCTCAGTGGGATAAAATGTATCTATGAAAAGCTAAATAAAAGAAGCCAGACCCAAAACTCTACCCTAAAATACTTCCATATACCAAAATTGAGTACAGGTATGAAACTTATACTCTCAGCTTTGCGAAGTGGCAAGAACATCAGTGTTGGTGGCTACAGGTTTAGTCTAGAACTGAAATCTGAAGCATAAATATTGCATGGTCAGTTTTTTTCTTGGTAGCATTTTTTGAGGTAAACAACATAAGATACAATTTATCCATTAAAATGTACATTTCATTCACTTTTTAGTATATTTAGTATATACCACTATCAGTTTTAAAATATGCATATGCTAGACAAGCACTCTACCACTGAACTACATCTCCAACCCCTTTTGTTGTTGGTGCTAAGGTCATGCTAAGTTGCCCTCGCTGGCCCCAAACTTGAGATCCTCCTGCCTCATCTCCCAAGTGGTCATTTTCTCTTTGCCCTAGTCTTTTTTCTATCTCCATAGATTTACTTATTATGGACATTTCATGTACTTGGAATCACACAATATAGTATATGGCCCTTTGTGACTGGATTCATCCGTAGTAGCATCCATCAGTGCTTTGTTCTTTTTTATGGCTAAATAATATCCTGTTGTATGGATAGACCACAATGGATAAATAATCCATTCTATTCTTGAGTTGATAAGCATTTGGATTGCATTTTTTTGTTTTCCTTTTTGGATTTTATGTGTGTATTGCTGCTATGAACTTTTGTGTACAAGCTTTTACATGGACATATATATGTAATTTTGTCATCCTGTCTTCTAGCCTGCTGCCAAAAATACCTTTTTTGGGGGGTCATATTAGGGGGACTGAACCCAGGTACTCATGCACCCTACCACTGAACTGCCAAATGTCTTTAAAATTATTATTTCTATTTAAGCTGCTCCATTTGTTTCCCCATTGCCATTTGTTTAAAGTTTGAGCTCCTTCATATGAAGATCAAGACCCCTTATGAGTGATCTGGCCTCTAAATAGGGTTACTGATTCCTCATTCTTTTTTTTTTTTAATATTTATTTATTTAATTATTTTAGTTTTCTGCAGACACAACATCTTTGTTTGTATGTGGTGCTGAGGATCGAACCTGGGCCGCACGCATGCCAGGCGAGCGCGCCACCGCTTGAGCCACATCCCCAGCCCCTGATTCCTCATTCTTGAGAAAGCCCCTGTTCCCCTGGCTTGATGTCTCACTCCACCCCTCCCATCAGAGTAGTATCTGTTCTTTAACTTAAAAGTCAATGTCTCTGCAGAATTGTTTTTGCCCCCACTCCAGTCCCACAAAGCTTCATCCTTCATATATTGCCCTCACTTGCCTCATAGAGCCAGGTTCTTCCTTGAACTCAGTCCAGGGTAGAGTGTTTTTATATTGCAGGGCATATTCTTTTATAACCCACTTTTATGGTCCCAAATCCCACAGGATCTATCACAAGGGTCTTGAAGTTGTCAATTTGCATATACCTATCTTCCTTTTTAAATGGTCAGCTCCTCAGAAAGGTCTTTGTCTGCCTGGCATCTACCATAAGGCTTGGCATGTGGCAAAGCTGAGTAGCTGTCTGAACCTATATACCAAAAGGTAATAGGATACTTTGGAAGTTCATTTTAGAATAGTGCTTCTTAAATTTGTTTGTAAAACCTTGAAAGATTGTAGGATGAGTGTTGTAGAATCCCAAGAACCATTCCTAAAGATTTATGATTTGAGAGGTGTAAAGTGAGGCCCTGAAATCTGTGTTTTTATAAGCACCCCAAGTGATTCCTAGATCATGCTAAATTAAGTATTTATACGTAATTGTTAAAAAATATTTTAGTTATAGATGGGCACAATATCTTTATTTTGTTTATTTAGGTTTTTTAATGTGGTACTAGGGATGGAACCCAGTTCTCACACATGCTAGGCAAGCACTCTATTACAACCCCAGCTCTATACATGTAATTTTTAAAGTACTGCCCCAGTATTACCGTAGAACTTTGCCATGAATCAAGTTGAGTATTAAGTAGAGATAATTCTAACATTAAATCAATGATTTAACTAATGTCCCTTGGTTCCTTCCAATTTAAATTCTGATTCTGTAATTTTGAGATACTTACATTATATTATGTTGAAAAATATGTACACACAAACCAATTATTTCAATTAATAATTTTAAGTTTCCTTCATTTGCTTCATACTTGCAATGCAAGAGAAAATATGATGATTAACTGCACAAAAAGAAAAATCTTTGTGTACATTGGGCAATCTTTCCTACAAACCCAGCTCCCCTCATACTTCCTGTGGACACTTCTATAATAATAATGATAATAAAAAATGTGTGTGTGTTTGACTTTTTAAAAATTTGTTCTAATTAGTTATATATGCCAGTAAATGCATTTTGACACATTATACATAAATGGAGTGTAAATTCTCATTCTTCTGGTTGTACATGATGTAGAATTATACGGTCATGTAATCATATATGCACATAGGGTAATAATGTCTGATTAATTCTACTATCCTTTCTACCCTTACACCTCCTTTTCTCCCTTCACTCCCCTTTGTCTAACCTAAAGTACCTCTATTCTTTCTACCCCACCTTATTGTGAATTAGCATCCACATATCAGAAAACATTCGGCCTTTGGTTTTAGGGATTGGCTTACTTCGCTTAGCATGCATGATATTCTCCAGCTCCATCCATCCAGCAAATGTCATAATTTTATTCTTCTTTAAGGCTGAGTCATATTCCATTGTGTATATATACCACGTTTTCTTTATTCAATCA